TGTAAACCATATTATTTTGTTTTATCTGCCATTAATTTGTTGAATTCTGGCCATAAAGTACTATCAGTCCTATTACTGGTAGAGTCAGCTTCCATTGACTCCCTTCATCCAGGAAATGCCACCTTCAGGGCCTCCTCAGTTGCTTTCCTTTTCTATGGAAAAAAAAAGCACTTCCCTGAATAACCAATTGTGCCTTTCTTCTTGTTTTTTAAGAAAACCACCAAAACATGGTTAATTTAGCAGGCCTCGGGGCTTGAAATGCTATGATGCTGTTGCCCTTGACAATAGAATGTTTTTTGGGACAGCAATGGCTGTCCTGTTATTGTTATGGTTGATGCAATATGTTTTGATATTTATTTTGTGCTTTAACTCAATTTCTGTTATGCTGGGATGTACACAGATCAGAATTGTTTGTCATTGAAGTTGTTTATAAACTCAGTAAGATTTTTTTTAAAGGAGACAGCCTAGTGGGTGGAAAAAGCAGGGGGGAGAGAAAATTGTGAAAAAATGTTAAAAATAGGAGATACTTAGAAGAAAACTTTAATAATTAAAATATAAAATAGTCAAAATTCAAATTTTTACAATTTTCCCACCACTTTGACTTTTATCTGTATACCGATTTTTTTTAAAAAAAACTGAATCTAAAACATATCTAGATCATATTGCAAAACTAAATTTAGACCATATGGTGTCATAGTGGTAGACCACTTTGCTGCTTCCCCATCTCCCATCATTTTAGTGCCGTTGCTAAATGCAGACTTCGAGCCAAATTTTGCAGGCTTGTTTTGTTTAACAATTGTTTAACATTCCACCTGACAAAGAGTTCTTTAAAACTTGCAAACTTGCTCATTACTTTGTTGATATTCTGACTGGTTCCAAAAATGTCATTGCCTAACTGGATTTTGTAAAGTATCTGAATTTCCTCGAGATTAATTCAGGATGCTGGATCATTTCTCAAGAATACGCATCACAGTTTCAAGTGAATGTATGTGAGAACATTGCCTCCAGCAGTTGCTGAGATATCCAGTTAATATTTCTGCTCTGGTGATTAAAATCACAGAGAGGAGATAACTTCGCAGGGAAGAGAGTGGGTACATTAGCTGCTTTATTTGTTTCATTGTGTACAGGTCAGAGGAGCAGGTCTGAAAGATGAGAAGGGAGTTATTCAATCAACAATTCTTCTCAATTTCTTCTGCGAAGCTCAGCTGGTTTAACTGAGAGAAGCTGACCTTTTCTATTTACATTCCATGGATAGTTATAACCCTTGCTAACATCTCTTCTCTAAAGTAGTGGTTGAACAAAGTATTCTGTTACAATCCATTATTGTGAGTACAATCAAGCTGCAAAAGTAGAGGTTTAGCAGACAGCTCTCCCCATTCCCCTCATAAAAATTGTGAGTGTGTCTGTGGTATTACCACATACAGTCTTTGAATTAATTCAGTAGTTATAGGATTCTCCCCAAATAAATGACCATGCAATTCACAAGAATCCTTCATAGAGAGGTGGCCATGTTCAGTACAATAAGTTTCATATAGCAAAAACAAAAAGGCTAGCCTGTTTTGGAGGGGAAATGAAGATCATGGTGACTGATTTGAATGACATTGAAAGGAGGTTGATCAAAATACTATAGTATGATACAGTACAACCAACTGGTAATCCTTCCTTCCTTCCTTCTTTCAATAAAAGATTGGACTGCCATTTGTCAGAAATGGTGTAGAGTCTCCTGCTTGAGTGGGGGGTTGGACTAGATGACCTATAAAGTCCCTTTCAACTCTGTTAATCTGAAACTTTCCTTCTTTCCTTCCTTCCTTCCTTCCTTCCTTCCTTCCTTCCTTCCTTCCTTCCTTCCTTCCTTCCTCCCCCCTTCCCCCCCTCCTTCTCTTTCTTCATTCTCGAAATATGTCCCTTCAGTTAGGGGTTTGTTTTTTCATTTTACATGGATCTCCTATTTTAAACAAATCTTATTTGAGTAGGGCATTTAACCAAATTCAACTTCAGGATGCTGCTGCTGCTGCCACCGATAGATTCTGCTCAAAATATCTGCATCCTGAAAAGAAAATAAATCAAGTATTATTATTTTTTATAATTAGCCTTTAATTACTACAATTCAAAGATAAACTCTGTTTGGTAGCTCTCAAACAGAGTTTGAAAGAAGTGATAGTAAGAAACAAGAATCCAGCAAGGTAGACTTTTTTTTATTATATTCCAGTATTTGAGAGGCTGCCACAAAGAAGAGGTGGGTCAACTTATTTTCCAAAACAGCAGAGGGCAGGACAAGAAACAATGGATGGAAACTAATAAGGGAGAGAAGCAACCTGGAATTAAGGAGAAACTTCCTAACTGTGAGGACAATTAACCAGTGGAACAGCTTGCTTTCAGAGGTTGTGGGTGCTTCATCACTAGAGGTTTTAAGAAGAGACTGGACAGCCACTTGTCTCAAATTGTATAAGGACTCCTGCTTGACCAGGGTGTTGGACTAGAAGACTCCAAGATGCCTTCCAGCTGTATTCTGATTGATTGATTGATTGAACTTACCTTCATTTAATGCTTTCCAGAGCTTTCAAGTTAGGAGAGAATTTCCTCCTAACAACATCCTCCAACAAAATTGTGCGTGTGTTTTGTTTTAGGATGACATAGGGTAAAACTAAATCTAATGTATTGTCTTCATTCCATAATTTGGGCACAGGATGAAATAATGCTAATATAAACTCATAAAAACTAGGAAGAATGGAACACCCTGATAAGACATTAAAACTGTGGAAAGGAGATAAATGAAGTCAGGATGTTGTTAAAGAATCAAATTTCACAACTTGAACGGTGTGAAATGCCATTCTAAATATGCTATTCAGCATACTAAAACTCACATAAAGCACATCATTAAATATTTTCCACTTCTGTAGAATATTCTACTACCCCTCAGTATTAGCTATAAATATAGTCCAGTAGCAATACGTAAGACACACTGAAAAAGTAAACCTATTGCCTATTACATTGATACTTTTCTGCGGTAACTTCCGTAGCTCCGTTATTACAGAGATAAGATTTCTTTTAGTGGATCCTTAAGAATCTTGACCCAAGCTGCGATGATAGATAGACTGAGAAACTTCAGAATCCAAAAGGGCAAAATGGAGGGGTTTTTTCCCATCTCCCTCCCTCCCTTGTTCCATAATTGTGTGCTTAAAATTGTATTGTCTGCTATAGTTCTACAAGCCTCAAGCAGCAACAATGACATCTTTAATAAAACACTAGCCTACAGATTTGCCAAGCTCAGGTTTTATTATTGTCTTTATTGAATTTGAGCTTTAGTAATATCAAATACTGAATCTCAATTTTGAACTTAAAAAGAATACTCCTGCATTATAATCTTGAAAAAAAAAAGTGTGTGTAATGAAACAGGGAAAATGTCAAATACGTTGAAAGAAATAATTTGGACAGATCAAAGAAAGGATTAAAATGGAACGAAGTAGAGATATGTAGTTCCATGCTATTTTTTTAAAAAAAATCTTGAGAAACTGAAATCAACAACACTGCATCTTTTACTGATGGGCAATGGGAAGGTTTGGATTACCCCAACTCTACCCATTAAATGATCTTTGAAATCTTGACTTTCTGCCCAAGATGTAGGATAGACTGGTATTGTGTCATTTAGAGCTTGCCTAGATTATAGTATATTATTCCCCTTGTCATGTTCAGTTCTATGCCATTATATTTCTGTTCCTGTTTTCAAGGTATTTTACTGGCTTTAATTATATGCGACCCGGAGTCCCTAAAATAAATAAATAGAAGTAAACTTATACATGCGGTACTTAATGAACTTTAATTCTATACAATAAACTTTTGGTAGAGATAAAAGAGTGCTTATATCATCAATTTTTAAAATGATTCTTTGAGATAGTCACTGACTGATTGATTTTTATGGTTGATTAAAGATACGAACTTACTTAAAGCCACCTTGATCCATCTGGTTACATAAATTGTGTTTTAATTGCATTAAGATATTGTGTTAGCCTTTCTCCAATTAAAAGAAAGTCACTGCAATAGAATTTTTTAAAAGTTACTTTTGTCCTTTCATTAACATTGGGTAAATATCATCATGTTTCATATTGTTGGAGATAAATTTTTAATGCATTCCAGGTCTAATTAAGGAGCCAACTGAACATAGTGCAGATTATCAGCCTCTGGATATTTGTAAAGTGCTACATTAGAAAAAGTCACTCTAATAAAAGGATATGATTTTAGAGACCAGAGACTGCACTTATTTGTTTATTTTTTTTAGTGTGATGAAAATCATTACCTACATTAGAAGGAAACATTATTAATTGCACCAAATTAGCAACTCAAGTGTTAATGTAAATTAAATTTAAGATACCAAAAGTACTTTATTGCTAGTCAGGATTGCCATACCCAAATAACCAAGGGAGGTTTGTTTTTTTTTTAAATCAGTTTTTTAAAAACACAATCAGTCAATCAGTTGCAACTTGAATGAACCTTGCAATTACCATTACTGATTTGATACGTTTTTCTCATGTTGGCAAAATCACTAAAGGCTAAAGAGAATTCAGAGTTAGATGAGTAACTTGCATAGGATGAATGCCAATTCAAAAAGAATCCTTTTGTCTGTTTTAAATAATAACTTGAAACGTATTTCAATACTCATGTATTGCGCAATTCATTTGGGAGTTATGAAGTTTGCTGTTGAAAGTGGGATGTTACCACATTGCCGCTCTGTTTAATGTAAAGCTCAAAACAGAAAAGTTTCATTCAATGAAGAGCAGACATTTGAGTTTTATACAGCCAAATTTTAGATTTGTTTTTTAACTTCTTTCTTGATCTGACATAGAATTAACTGTCACCTTAGCTTTCCATCAGGGATATTTCTGTAGTGAGGTGAAAAGCTTGAAAATGTTTATGTTGGTTAATTAAAAAAAAAAATTAAAGTCTTTTCCTCTATCTCGGATTATCTTAATTTTTCTTTTATTCATTTCATTTTTTCATCTCAGTTCCTGGCCTCCTGAGTTGGCACCACCTAGCCGGCCTTGGTTGATCATGAAAGTTAAACAGCACTGACCCTGCATTATATTTGGGTAAGGGACTATCTGGGAATGCAGTGGGGTTGTCTGGACTGGAGGAGGGGTGGAGACAAGAAAGGAAGTGGCAAATCACTTCATTAATGTGGCCAAGAAAATTGCAGGGGCAGAAGGAATCAAACTTAACTTGACTGGCTGTTACTGTTGACTTCATGGATGTTATAATGTTCAAATAGCTCCCTCTGGTGGCACGTACAAGAAAATATCTAATAAAGAGAACTAAAACATTTTTTTTTTCCCTGAGAAAGATTGTATTACAGAAAATAAACCCAACAACAAAATGGAAACACTCTTTCCCTCCATGCCCTTTAAATGTGACCAGGGTCAAACTAGATAAATCTGTTTACCTACAGTAATCCTGCCATACCCAAGTTGGTCCTCCCTGCCTTCAGGTAAGAGGTAAAGGTAAAGGTTTCCTGTCGAGTTGAGTTCGATTCTGCAGGGTGGGGGGTTGCTCATCTCCTTTCTTAGTCAAAGTAGCCAGTATTGTCCAAAGACATCTCTGTGACCAGTATGACTATATGCCAAGGCACGCAGAATGCTGTTACCTTCCCACCAAAGTGGTACCTACTAGCTTTTGCGTGCATTCTAACTGCTAGGTGGGAAGGAGCTGGGGCAAGTGACAGGAGCTCATTCCATTGTTCAGTGCTCAGGTCTTGAACCCAGGCTGTCGGCTTTGCAGCCAACAATCTAAGCATCTTTAAACACTGAGACATTTTGCCCCAAGGTAAAGCTCCCTGAAATCCCATCTGAAGCAAAGATTAGACATTTCCTTGCCAGCTCACAGCACAGCCCAAAGGCAGCCCTTACAAGGGAATTGCACATAAAGAAATGTCAGCTTTCCATCCTCTTCTATCTGAAGACCTCAACATTCCACCTCTCTCATCAAAGGTGTTTCCCAGCTCTGCTGCCCACCTGAAAGGCTCATTTTGCCTAAAAATCAAACTCACCCCAGGTATAGTGTCTGAGTTCCCCAAACCGGCCAGAAAATAGATCCCTAAGATTTACCAACACTCAACCTCTATAAAAATCCAGCAAACTCTGTCATTAAACAAAGCAGTCACTAAGTGGGATATCACATGATTGTGACGGTACTTTCTTTTTTGCCACTTCTTTTGGAATACCTTTTGGAATTAGAAAGAAGGAAATTAATATTTATTGAAGAGAAAGAGATTGCAAGAGAGTAAGTAAGTACACAATGGGGAAAACATATTGAAAGGAATGTACTGGTGTATTGTGTGCCTCTCCAATCTCTCTGCTTTATGAGGGGGTAGGAAAGAAACCAAAAGGACCAGACACAGGAAAGATTATCTACAGAGTTCAGCTGGCTTCTTTTGTTTGTTTGTTCCCTCTCCTCAGAAGGTGAAAGAAGAAAAAAGAAAATAAAAATCAAGCGAACTCTGTAGTCAGGCTGTCCTGTACCTGACTTTCACAAAAACAAATAATGTCCAGTTTCCTTTGGAAAAGCACTTTGGTGTCTCATTTGATAGTCAAAGATAAGGCATGATGGTAAGTATAGGAAGAAAAAAAAATACAAATGTGAGACATCAAAGTAAAAGAGCAAGAGGTGGCCATTTTAAACAATCCAAAATGTCCTTCTAACCAGTTATATTAAATCCAAGGGTGAAGATGAGGGGGATTAGAGTTCATCTATGGAGCTTGCTCTGAGGAGGAATTTGATTGATCACAGAAGAATTTACCCTCTCAAACTTGCAACCACGGTGTAAGTCTCTGGGAAATTTGTAAATTGTAAATTTGCAATGTATCAGAGTTTTGTAACCAGTCTGAACTTTGAAAGGACATTTTGACCTTCCACAAAATTGCACCACAGTTGGAAAGCTTTCTTCATGGTTAAAAATTCAATGTTGTAAAAAAATCATATTTATGTTCAGCTTGCACAAATTGGCTGGGAGAAAAAAAAGTAAGTAAGGGAGCAAGCTGTTTCCAAACCCTGATACATATTGTATAAGCCCTGCACCAAGGCAAAATGAAAATTATCAGTCTGAATAACAAGGAGAAAACAGAAAGTGGATGGTGCAAGTTGGCTGTGAAGAGAAAGCCTCTTTCAATAAAAGAAAAGTTTATTGGACATCAGAACCTCACCTTAAAAGAATGCATACCAGTAGATGCACTGTTTAGTGTTACAAACTGCATGTTGCCTGATTTTAATTCCAACCTGTTTAGGCTACCAGACCTGTAGATACAACAGCCTTATGTAATTCCAGGTTCCTTGTTTCCTACCTTTGCACTGACAGTTCTCCCATACAGAATACAGAACAACAGAGTTGGAGGTCTTCTAGTACAACCTCCTGCTCAAACAGGAAGCCTTATACCATTTCAGACAAATGGTTGTTCAATCTCTTCTTGAAAACTTCTAGGGTTGGAGCATTCACAACTTCTGGAGGCAAGTTGTTCCACTGATTAATTGTTCTGTCAGAAAATTGCTCCTTAGTTTTAGATTGCTTTTCTCCTTGATTCGTTTCCACCCATTGCTTCTTGCCCTGCCTTTAGATGCTTTGGAGAATAGGTTGACTTCCTCTTCTATGTGGCAGCCCCTTAGATATTGGAACACTGCTATCATGTCACCCCTAGTCCTTCTTTTCATTAAACTAGACATGCCCAATTCCTGCAACTGTTCTTCATATGTTTCAACCTCCAGTCCTTTAATCATCTTTGTTGCTCTTCTCTGCACTCTTTCTAGAGTCTTCACATCTTTTTTACATTGTGGTGACCTAAATTGGATGCTGTATTCTAAGTGTGGCCTTACCAAGGCATTATAAAGTGGTATTAATACTTCATGTGATCTTGATTCTATCCCTCTCTTTATGCAGTCCAGAACTCTGTTGGCTTTTTTGGCAGCTGCTGTACACTGCTGACTCATATTTAAATGGTTGTCCACTAGGACTCCAAGATCCCTCCCACAATTACAACTATTGAGCAAGGTACCACATATACTGCATTTGGCTTTTATTACCTAAATGTAGAACCTTACTTTTTTCACCATTGAATTTCTTTTTCTTAGATAGGGCCCAATGTTCAAGTCTGTCAAGATCCTTCTATATTTTAAGCTTATCTTCTGCAGTTTTGGCTATTCCTGCCAGCTTGGTATTGTCTACAAATTTGGTGAGTTCCCATCTATCCTGTCATCTAAATGTCAAAGTGTAGTGTAGAATACAGGTAGTCCTTAGCTCAAGACCACAATTTACATTGTGGTTGTTAAGTGAGTTTCACCAAATTTTATTACCTTTTTTGCTAGGGTGGTTAAGTGAATCATACAGTATTTAACTGAACGCAGTTTCTCCCATAGACTTTACTTGTCAGAAGCTGGCTAGCAAGCTCTCAAATTATGGTCACATAACCTTGGGATGCTGCAGCTGTTGTAAATACAAGCCAGTTACCAGATGCCCAAATTTTGATCATGTGACTATGGGAATACTGCAATTGTCATAAAGTATGAAGATCTGCATTTTTTTTCAATGCAGCTGTAACTTTGAATGATCACTAAATGAATGTGTCATGCTCCCATCGGAGTCTGAATCTGAGACAGAAGATGAACAGCTGAGAGAGAGCAAGGGAGTGGCTCCATTGGCTGTGGAGGAAACTGGGGAAGAGCAAAGTCAGGCTGGGCAGAGCAGGGGAGAGATTGAACAAGGGAGAGAGGGTTCAGATGAAGACCAAGGCCCACCCCCTCCTCATCCTAGGGCACGCAGGGAAGAACACAGACGAGAGTAATGTGGGTTGCGTGGCTTATGAGGAAGGAGAGGGCCCCAATTCCCTTCACAAAGCACACCTGGGGATGGAGTTTAAAGGAAAAGCAGTTGGGAGGGGCGTTTGTCAGGAACAAATGCTGAATTAATCTAGTGTTGAGAGTTGTGGCCTGCATTCCTGGCATTCCTCCTGACTGTTTGAATTAGTGCCGTGCTTCTGTGTGCTTATCTTGTCTTGTTGGAATTATTGCCATTATTCTTTGCTTCTGGGACTCATTATCTTGCCCTGCTGAAGTGATTGATTGCAGTCATTCTGCAATCAGACTGGATAGTAGTATCTGGACTGGAGTATCTGCAGCCAGAAGCTGCTGCAGGTTTGTGGAAGAGCTGTCAGGGTTCCAAGGAACACCCCCAACAAACTGACAAGAATTTTTCTCCAGGCCGGAGAGTAAACGGGACATTGGGGGCAAAGTTGGTGCCAATAAAGGGATTCCTACCAGTTCTCTGGTTGTGTTTATTATTTATTTATTTATTAGTTCAATTTATATGCCGCCCTCCTCCAAATACTCAGGGCGGCTTACAATGCACTTATAGCAATAGCCTTCATTCTTTTGTATATACCTGCTTATTAGGGCTTTTGGCCCCCCATAAGCGGTGTTTCTACAAAGTCAACTTATTGCCCCCACAATCCGGGTCCTCAATTTACCTACCTCGGAAGGATGGAAGGCTGAGTCAACCTTGAGCCTGGTGAGATTTGAACTCGCACTAATTGCAGGCAGCTGGCAGCTAAGTGCTCTATAACATACATAATCACCATCACAGCTGATACCAGTCAGAGCATTGAACAACTCAAAGAAGTAGTGTAAGATCAGAAGATGTGGAGAGAGTTGTCCCATAGAATCACCAAGAATGGGACACGACTGAATGGATAATACCATCATCCACACACAACAATATTCATGAAAGGAGGGGAAAATTTTCTGTAAAATAAAGTTTGCAGAGAGAGAACATTTGCACAGGTTGAATTTGTTAGTATTGTTTTGATATCTGAAGAGGGCAGTTACAGAATCCCCTGCAATCATCAAAAAGTCATTTGGTCGGATGTCTTCCTTCCCTATATGGTCGGATATCTTCCTTTCCTTTCTATTCCGTCTTTATTTTAGTTGTACAGTTGTATAATGCTCTTCTATTGGAAAATCTGAAAATACTTTTAGGGCATTTGAAGGGTACTGTGCAAATTCTTCTTTTTCTTTAAGCTGGCAAAGGACAACATGAGGGGAAAAATGGATTAGCTGCAGGTGTATTTAGACTGATAGTCTTTACACCCTCAGAAAAGCAATTCTCTAAGGATTCCGATCTCTGCCTGGACATACTGCCACTTGCTGGCTTTTCCAGCAAATGCCAGACTGTTGATTATCTTCATCGGTCCTAGGAGAAATAAATGTTAACTTCTCAAAGGAAGTGTGAGAATAAAAAGTATGAGAAAAAAGACACTGCCTTTTCTTCTATTAAAAAAATGATGTGATTTAGAGTGCCAAGCCCTGCAGACACTTCCTTTGGCAACCCTATGCTCTCTGTGGAATTAATTTTATTTAAACTTTTTATAATAATGATTAAATAGGAAGTTGGTATGCAATAAAATTAAAACCAGCTTTTGGCATCATCCTATTTACAAGGATATCCCTGGGCCCTTTATGAAATATACATTTTTTTAGAAAATGAAAATGATGTATGGCTGTTTCTTAAGAAAAGAACAAATGTAAACAGGGACAGAGAAAGAAAGAAAAAAAGAAAAACACATCCTGGCAAAAAAAAAAAAAGTCTTTTAGAAAATAGATGCTTTGGGACTAGCCCTGTTTAGCTTGGCAGCCATTTTGTAAATGAGGAAGTCCTTTAGGAAAGATGTTCCCACAAGTCTCATGTGGCCATCAAGTCTTCAAAGACCTTTGCTCAGTCTAAGTGCAGAACTTTAACACAAAATTTGTGCCTGCTAAATGTTATGTGGCATTTTAATTTCTTCCAAGCTACTAAACAATCCAGTAGACAGTGTGTCTTTCAGTCTTCTGAGAAATAAAATTGCCTGCTTTGTCACAGATGTTTGTTGTACTTGAGTAACAAGTAGTTCTTCTTTGGGGAACCATCGTCCTTTTTCACTCCATTATTATTTTAAGCTACATGATAAAGAAAAAGAAATCCATCATATTTATTAATCTCAGGACCCAGGAGGAAAAGAACACCATCAAACACCTCCGGCAGGAATTATCTTTGACATTCCTGAGTCTGAAAATAAAATCAATAAGAAAAAAAGGAAAAAGACAAAAGAAAATAAAGCATTATTACTATTACTACTTCATAGCATTGCAATCACACTCCAGGAAGGAATAGAACTGTGTCTTCTGCTTCTAAGGTTGCCAGGTCATCCTGTTCCTGGAGTAAACTGATGTGATGGTGACAAACAACTTCAACCCCCAACTATACTGCAGATATTACATTTTGCTTTTATACTGAAACAAAGGTGTGAGGAAAGAGTCAGGGAAGACAGCATGTGGCATTGCAGAAGATGGGTTTAAGGCATAGCTAGGCAATCTAAGACTTTTGGCTTAATTTTCAAGGCCCAGGCTGGGCTGTTATTCCTGATAATAACTGTCATGCAAGAGTGATTAATCTTTTCCTTGGAAAGAGGCAGGGGTGAAATCCAGCAGGTTCTGAAAGGTTCTGGAAAACCGGTAGTGGAAATTTTGAGCAGTTCAGAGAACCGGTAGCGGAAATTTTGAATAGTTCAAAGAACCAGCAAATACCACCTCTGGCTGGTCCCAGAGTGGGGCGCAAATGGAGATTTTGCAATATCCTTCCCCTGCCATGCCTGCCAAGCCACATCACGCCCACAAGCCACACCCACAGAACCGGTAGTAAAAAAATTTGGATTTCACCTCTGGAAAGAGAGGAAGGAAAATGGATTTTTCATGTGAAAGAGAGGGTGGGTGGAAGGGGAAGAGGAAAAGAAGGAAGGAAGGAAGGAAGGGAGGGAGGGAGGGAGGGAGGGAGAGTGGGAGGGAGAGAGGGAGGGAAAGAGGGAAAAGGAAAGGGGAAGACATAAATACAAGCTTCACATTCCTAGAAACAGGCAAAAAAGTAGTCTCTTATTTTCAGATCATCCCTGATCATCCCAAGCAAAGATTTTGTTGTCTACTCAGCAAATTGTTAAAACTATTGAGTGATTGTATCAAAGCAATACTGGGATTTATTTGTCTGTTTAATCTTATTGTATAAGCCAAGGGAGCAAAGACCAAATATAGTCCATTTTGCATTTATATTTATATTGCCACATTTCAGCAGTTTTTATTCTGACTTTTATTTTATTTTCTACTATTGCTTACATTCAGGAATTTACCATAGCAAATACAGACAGATGCAGAAAGGCATTGGTAAAGATAACTTTATTATCATGTATCATTATATAATCTTATTCGTAGAAGCTCTCTCCAGTAAATCTCACTTTTTTTCATTAAAATGGTATGCAATAAAAACGATCTTCTGGACAAATAATGCTAATTTTGTAAGCAATTTCTTTAATATGTAATTGTATACATTTATTTATCTGTAAATAATTTATTATAAACAAATAAATAGCCCATATTTAACTATTTGGTAGTTCATAGTGAACTCTTCTTTGACTCTTTCCTCTCTTACATTAAGCAATTGCTCTCAAACAAGCAAAGTAAATTTTCTACCACCGAATAACGTTTAAGAAAGAAGCTTAAGAATATGGATGGATTTCTAGATTTTCTATTATTTCTAACCAGAAAAATATGGAATAATAAACATAAGTTACAGAAAGACAAACTCCAGTGGAATGTTAGGAGAAACTTACTAAGAGAGGTTTGGCTATCTATCATAGGTGTCTTGGTTTAAACCAGAGATCTTCAAACTTGGCAGCTTTAAGACTTGTGGACTTCAACTCCAAGAATTCTCCAGCCAGCATAGGTATCCTGGCTGGAGAATTCTGGGAGTTGAAGTCCACAAGTCTTAAAGCTGCTAAGTTTGAAGACCTCTGGTTTAAGCAAACAGTTTGGAACTCTTTGAATGTACTGTTGTTGGGATTCCCCAGCTACCATTGCCTTTAGGCAGGATGGTTATGATTTCTCTATCATGAAACCAATATTGAAATCACTTAATGAAATAATAAGCTCTGTCCATTTGGGGACAAACATCTATTACAAACTTAAGTTGTTCATTTTAGGATTTTTCAATAGCAGCAGGTGAGGTGAACTGTCACAAACATTTAGCAGCCATCAGTTGGGGCAACGGATGGCATTTCTGTGAAGACCAATTAATGTAGAACTTATTGGTCCTGGTAATACATTTTTCCTTGGGATACTTATAAGGAAATCACCTTTTGAAACTGAAAAGATCTAATTCAATTTTTCATCCAGTTCCCATCCGCCAATGGCCAGCAGAAGGCAGTGTGTGCTAATTTTCCATGATGTAAATTAGAATCTCTTGCTTGCTGCCTCCAATCAAGTTGAAGGTCCTGCTCTTTGGAATTCCAGACAATATGTCCAACTTCAGAATGGTAAAGAATTTTGAGAGTTTTTATTATATTGTAAACATATTATTTGTATGTTTAAAAAAACAAAAAGTTTGGGAAAGGAGCATAAAGAAAGGTAGGTAGGTGAAACATGTGGGTCCTTCCTGAATAGATATCTAAATTCCTGGGATGCCAATTTTACTGTAGAGTGTCAATCATGTGTCCCACACAAAGATTATGCTTCTAGACATTGCCAGAGCAAAGCACGGGGCCAATAGAAAATTAGCTTCTATTTTGTTGTGCAATGGCTATGTGTGACACTATTTATTTACCAGAGTTTTGAGTAAAGTTGAAATCAGGATTAGCTGGCATTCTTTTGTTCCTTTTCACCTTGTTAAATTAAATGTTTTAAACAAAATAGCAGAAATTCTGGTGAGCTTCATTCATAGGGTGCCCAGAATAGAAGTCAATGGGACATGTAAGAGCTGGAGCTTTGCTTTAAGTATATCTCAAACAAAACATTTATCATCAGGATAGGATGAAGGTCTCATTGATCCGATTGGTGAAGGATTATAGCAGATCTCATGATAATGTCTGGCCAATTTTTTTTTTTAACATCAAGAATTTCAAAGAAGCATCTTCGAAGTTCCACTTCCACCTTTATTTATCAACCTCATTTGCACAGTAAATACTTTTTCTACACAAAGTCTCCATCTGTTAATCTGTTAATATATCCAACGCTCCTGGAGATACCAAGACATTTTTTCATATTTTCCAACAACATTGTGTGTTCCATTCAGGAAGACTATGGTATAATAACAACTTGGCTCCTTGTACTGTAAGAAAGCTCCGTGTATATAGTGTGTGAGAGAAAAAGATTGTGTTTCCAAAAATGGCATTTCAGTGGGGGAAAATATTCAAAAACAATATATGGAGATAATTAGGTAATCATCAAAGCAATCACCTATTATCTTATACTAATGGTCATCTACTGGGGACATTCTGCTCTCTGGAATGAGCCTTTTCTCATTTTCCTATGTATTAATTAGCTTTTTCTTCCTTTCTTTAGTTGTCTGGATGCAGCTAGGAACCAACTGTGTTGTCCTTCGTTTCAGTCATTGAATGTGCCATTAATTTGTGCCATTCACAAGATCTATTGGATTTATGCTTCATGAAACTACAAAGCCGAGGCAAACAATCTGCTCCCATTATTAAACTATAGCAGGCTGACTATTATTTACAATACCAGCTATGTCCCATTTCGCATTGTGTTGAGTGTTTTCACCTCTTTTCTCTTGTCCCACTTGCTTCAGATGACCTTCCGTCATGGTGTCCATGGCAACCCAGTGAATATGATGATACTGAATTGGCAAAAAGATTTTATTATGAAAAAAGGAGAAGGAGAAGCCTGTTGTTTTAAGGATTGATAGCCAATATGTTTTAATGTGTTTTAAATATTTGTATACATTTTGTGGTTGAACATTTAAAGAAGAGGAAATGAAAGTAAGTAGCATGCATCTATTTCTGACTGCAGAAGTGGATGCATACACAGTACATGTTATTATATGACAATCATCTTTGTGTTGTAATGGAAGAGGCACCATTCAGATGACCTCATGCAAGAATGGATACTCTATATCAGCGGTCACCAACCGGTGGTCCGTGGACCACTGGTGTTCCATGAGAAAATTTTGGGGATCCGCAGAAAAATTATTTGCATTTTCTATATTGCACTAAATTAGGGGTCCTCAAACTACGGTCCCTAGGCTGGATACGTGTGATGAATGGTTGTGTTGCTGCAGAGAGTCTCCCCCTTCAGGGTCTTTTTATGTGGGTCAGAGGGGGACAGAAATTCCAACATGGGGTCTGCTTCAGCCTCCTGGTATGGGGCTTTGGGTGAAGGCTGGAGGGAAGTGCCGCTGGTGGTGAAGAGCCGGAGGGCCTTGTTCCAGTGGGACTGCCTCATGGTCTGGAACTGGCTGACCATCTCAGCCCACTGAGCCTCCAGGTGCCGGTACCTGGCCTTGCACTCCCACAGGTCTTCCCTCTGCTTGGAAAGTCTATGCTTGTAGTCCTCAGTGAGGTGCTTCTGCTGAGCCACCTTCTCAGTCAATTTGAACTGAGCTGTTTTGCCAACTCTTTCATGTGGTGGCTGCTTAGCTCCAACAACTGCTTCCTGTTGGGGCCCTAAGGAGCGCGGGCGGGGAGACAAGGAGTGGCTGGGAGGGGAGGGGTGAGTAGAGGCCAGCAAGGCGCCCGTCTACGTGAGTGACATTGAGTTGGCCATGCCCACCCAGTCACATGACCACCTAGCCACGCCCACCCATTAGGTCATTAGGCAGATCATATTAGTGGTCCATGGGATTTAAAATTATGAATTTAGTGGTCCCTGAGGTCCGAAAGGTTGGTGACCCCTGCTCTATATCAGGGGTGTCCAACTCATGGCATCATGGCATCATCATGCGATGTATTGGGACTTTTTTCCCCTTCGCTAAACTAGGCATGGCCATGGCCAGTGTGTGATGCATCCGGCCCGCGGGCAAGGTGTTTGACAGCCCTTCTTCTATATTAAAGCCCATGCAATCAGGCCAAGGCCCAGCATAATATGTAATCAGTCAAATCATGGCTCCTTCTTGCTCATAGGAAGTCAAAATAGAGAATTTAAAAACCATAAAATCTCAAACACTGTTAAAAGACAATTTTAAAAAAGTAAACAAAAATACTTTCTTTAGTGTTAAAAGGATATTACAATAGAATCATGAAATAATGATTCTATTCCAAACTCTTGCTCTGGGCAAGATCCTAAATTAAAGCATCCAGAAAAAAGCCTTTCCATAAGTTCTTAAAGCAGAACACTGTCTTTTCCAATAACCACAAACTGGGGAAAAGTGGTAAACATCCATCTGCTTTCAACATTTGAAGTTTTCCCTTCTATAAGAGGCACTCTTGATTCCAGTTTGTTGGCTAGACAGTACCAATGGAATATATTATTCATAAAAGGGATAAAAGAAAAGAAATAAGAAAAATGTGTCTTTAAGTGATGCTCTTGAATAAAGCCACTAAAACAGTGGTGAAATCCAATTTTTTTTACTACCAGTTCTGTGGGTGTGGCTTGGTGGATGTGGTTTGGAGGGCAGGGCAGGGAACTGCAAAATCTCCATTCTCTCCCCACTTCTGGGGAAAGGATATTGCAAAATCTCCATTCCCACCCCTCTGGGGCCAGCCTGAGGTGGCATTTGCCGGTTCTCTGAACTACTAAAAATTTCCGCTACTAGTTCTCCGAACTGCTCAAAATTTCCGCTACTAGTTCTCCGAACTGCTCAAAATTTCCGCTACCGGTTCCCCAGAACCTGATGGATTTCACCCCTGCACTAAAACTAGTAACAGTAAACAGCAGCACCTGACACTAAATGTAAATGTCTTTCCTCTGAAACATCAAGACTGATTTTATCCTCACAGCAAAAGCCTTATGGTGTAGCTAAGACTGAGAGAGGGTGACTGGCTTAAAGTCATGTAATCATCAGTAGAAAGACTTCCAATATACTGAGTGTAAATTAATCTTGCGGGTACCCCAGACATTTTATTATTCAACTTTCTCATAGAATACATAATTCAAGAAAAAGGCTTGGATGGGGAACCTGCTTCTAGCCTTATGACTTTAACCTAAACTAGATATGACATTAATCTGTCTTTTTTTCAAGTACATAATATCTTATTAGCAGATGATAACATCACATCCTATTATGTCTGGAGTTCCCAGATTGTTATCTGTTATCATGCCATAAGGTTGCCCACTCAGAGTTTCCTTAGGCTGGCCGTAACCAGGTTTCCATCTTACCTGACTTAAGTGAACTATGGGACAGACCATTCTTGTAAAGAATATGAAGTTGAGTAAATTTATTTCTACCCTGTTGGACTTTTAAGAATTGGTGTTTGGGGGTGACGATGTAATATAAAGCAGCAACCAAGGACTTTAAATCCTTCTCCATTAGAAAATGATGAAGGTGGAAAAGAAAAGGTCCAAGGAAAATTAGTTAAAGGAAGAAGAATATAAGATGGGAGCCGGTTGAGCTCAAGAGATGCTATATAATTATAAGTTTAGATGGCACCCCTGCATAGGGCTTAGGCGACAAGGCTAAAAAGAGAGAGAAACATGGCAGAGAAGTGTGAGAAATTGTCAGAGTTTGATGCAGAAATCACTTCTAGAAAGCACACACAGATAACTGATTCATCAGGATTCATTAACTTCCTTATATACATAATAAGACATGAGTAAATGTACAATACTAATAGTGGTTCTTCCAACGTGGTAGAGAAATCAGTTTCAGTTCAGAGTTCAGAACAGACTCAGAGCTTAATACAGACAAAGAGAACCTCCTCTATACAAGGCAGTTAAGATAAGCCTAAACCACACCCAGGCTCCAAGCTGTTTCAGCTCCCAAACAGACCTCAATGGCTGACTTAGTTGCTATGCCTATACATTGGCTGACCTTGTTACCATCTCTTATTCCAGCCAGTCCCCAATGGCTGACCTGTTGCCATGTCTATCCCCAGCTCATGAATATTCTGACAGAAATAGATCAAACAATGACAGAAGGAAGAAACTGAATCTAGATTCTAGATCAGTTCATTACATTAACATTTACACAGGTATGAAATGAAACTCTCAGGCTGTTAAAATGGGCATGGGGAACAAAGTTATTTGCACTTTAGTTCTGCTCAGTGTATGTGGCTTAAGTCTTACAAGTTGCTGTTTTTGTAGATACCTAATGGATACTCCGGAATCTGGAATAAAGCTTTGCACAAATCTCTGGTTAATATATCCCCGGTAAATAATCAACTTGTTTCCTAAAATAACCTCTTAACAGTATTGTTTTATTAAAGGGGTATCCCATAATTTCTTATACCATTCAACAGCTTGGACCCACCCAGAATTTATTGTGAGATGGTCAACTATATAAATGTTTTAAAGAAATAATATAAACAGTTGTTGGAATGTGTAGTGTGTCATGAAACTCCTTGATATTTTTTAAGAGAAAAAAGGGTGTTTCTGATACAACAAATCAATATATACCTTTCTTATGAGCCACGGTGGTGCAGTGGTTCGAGTGCAGTACTGAAGGCTACTTCTGCTGCCTGCCGGCTGCCTGCAATTTGGCAGTTCAAATCTCACCAGGCTCAAAGTTGACTCAGCCTTCCATCCTTCCGAGGTGGGTAAAATGAGGATCCAGACTGTTGGGGGCAATATGCTGACTCTGTAAACTACTTAGAGAGGGCTGTAAAGCACTGTAAAGCGGTATGTAAGTCTAAGTGCTATTGCTATTATATGATTACATAAAGAGGAATATAATTATTATTTCAATTTTATATTTTGTCTAATGTGGGAATCAGTTATATAATATTGAGCTTATCCTCATTAGAACATAGATGGCATAATAAATCTTATGCATTTATGTACATGTTATGTATAGATAATTGATCTTGCTTTGAAATCTACTTTGGTTGGTTTTAGAATTTAAACATTGTCAGTTAATTCTGTGATACTTGTGCATCATAAACTATGTAAAAGGAGATTAATTTGGGTTCTATGATTTACATCCATATCCCCAATAGAGGCATTTCAATAAAAGGTAAATTAGGAACCTCTTAGTTAAGCTGTTTTCTGGTACCAAAACAAATCAGTTTATACTTTGTATATTCTTGTGGAACAGTCTTATCTGGGGAATAGTAATCATAATGAGATGTGACTTTCACTGTCTAATAATAATTAATTACACATGAAATTCAAAGTCATTTCTGGAGCTTTTCTGATTACTTAGCTTAGAAAAAACCCAGAGGAGTTGTTTCACAAGATAAAGTTATTAATCATTACTTGCTGGGTGTTAAGAATTATCTATTGACAGAGGTAAATTAAGAAAGATAGTTTAGGCCCTTATTATTATACAATTGAATTTTTCTTCCCAAGACAAAGGAAAAGCAATTCAATGAGGAATTCCTTTGTTTTCTTTTTGCCTGCATTTTTAACATGTTAGTCAATTAATCTTATGGTTTGCTTTAATAATTAAATGTATGGTTAGGAAAAGGAAATCTTGAAACTGGTCCAACTAATAGTTCTTTACCTCTTCTACCTGATTATATTCTTCCTTATCCTCTAGATACCTAGAACAGCAGGAATGAAATGTTTTCTAATGGGAAGATGGTTTGCCATTTTCCTTCCTTCTGGGTTAGTACTTTCTTACTGAGGACATCTAAATATTAGAGGTTTC